ATTTAGGTAGTTGTTGAACAATATCACTCCTAACGTATATGAGGGATTAATACGAAAGGTTTAAAGGTGGGATTAGGGATAACGAAACCTTGGTGCGATCCGAGTGAGTCATGCTTAATGTCAGCTAGCGTAATTTGGAAGAATATGTTTATTAAATTGTGGTAGTTACTCGGAAGAGAATTACAATACTCAGAGCGCTCATGATCGGTAGAGAATACTTAGGCGAATTTTTATAGAAAATGTAGCGGGAAGGATTCCGACAATAGGGAAAATCATATCTCTAGACCTTCTTAATCTTGTCTCAAACCCTTAGTATCATTAGTTGTTAATTTACTAATTTAATCTGTAGTTAATTAGCTAAACACAAGAATCTTAATATATATATATATATATAAGTTAGAAATTATTCAAGTTTGTCTTCTTGGTGATATTGAACAACTGTAGCTAAACCTTAGTTCTATGTGGGATTCGGCTCCGGACTTGTAAATCGGATTATATTTGCAACGACCGCTTAGTCCTTTTTATAAGGCATAGTTGGGCGTGATCAAATTTTGGCGCCGCTGCCGGAGAAGTAACGGTGTAGCTGTAGGTGTACATATTGCTAGGTTTCAAGTTTGAACTTTTATTTCTATTTTTTGTATTTGATCTTTTTATTTTTGTTTTATTTGTTGATTTTAAAAACATGGCATCTTGGAATTATGAGATTTTGATGTTGGTAATTCTACTTTTAATCCTCCTCGTGCATATTGTGAAGGAAACCACCTAGTGCAAAATATTCCCAAGAGCGAGTTGTGTGCACCAACTCAATATTATGTGTGGAACATGTGTGATATGAGTGGTGGTCAAGATGGTCACTTTCTTGTTTGTGCTTATAATTCTTATCTTCCCCCAACCCCTTACTTCAATGGCTTTTCTTTTTCTTGTGAGGATAACAGAAACAAAGAACCTAGGGAAGCTGACCTAAAGGAGATCAAGGCTATGTTAAAGTGCCTTCAGGAACAAAATAACGAGAAACAATTGCAGATAGAAAGGCAAGAGGCAACTATTCGTAACTTGGAGGCTCAAGTGAGTCAAGTGGTTGAAGCTTTTAATGCTCAGCAAACCAATTTTGAGGATATGAGCCAAGAAGAGCGTGAATTTGAGGTGCTAATTGAGGAGTTCAGAGTAGAACATCAACAACCTAGCCAACTACAATTTGAGGATGTCGATGTTGTAGAAGTGAGACTAGAGTCGGCCAAGGACATTGAGGATATAAATTTTGTTGACTCTAGTATCATTGATGTTGAGGATGCTGAAACTCCTGAAGTTCATGTGTGTGTGCGCATTGGTCCTCACTCCAAACATTTTTCTACATTGTGCTTGGATGACGATATGGAAATAGAGTCATCCGAGCCGATTGAGAAGTCAAGGAATGATAAACAAGGTGCCTACATTCTGGAATTTTTCTTGCCAGAAAGACAGGACTACATACCTCATCGAAAAGCCAAGAAGTGTAGAATAGTACAATAGTTGCTTGGGCCAATTAGATTTGTTCCTCCACCCCTGGAGCATAGCCGAAAACTTGATATCAAATTGGGGGTTCAATTCATAAGCTCGAGGTGGAGGCAAAAAGTGATTCGCGTCGTGCCGCGACGTTAAATCAAGCGCTTGTTGGGAGGCAACCCAGCTTTATTGCTTTTTTTTTTTTAATTTCTCTAATTGTATTATGTTTGTAGTGTCGATTTTTTATTTTCCAGGAGCATGGAAAGCAAAGCTATTAGAAGGATGCAACATCAAACCAGATGGTTGGAACTAAGTGTGAGGTACCCGCACCAAGGACCAAGCCTGGGAGAAGTCTGAGTACCCCATGAGCTGCTAGTGCTTCGGACTTTGGCCTACCAGGGAGTTTCTTTTACCCTCTTATTAGTTATGGTGTGCATTGGGGACAATGCACAATTTTTAGTGTGGGGTGAGGAGATTGTCTGGATGACTTTCTATGCTATTTTACCTGTGTTAGTTTAATTGAATAATATTTTTTTAAATAAAAAAAAATATTAGACTTTTCCCGACGATGGATATCCTAGACAATTTTTCTTGAGGGACTTAAGTCTAAAGAAAAGGGATAAAAAGATTTTCTTTGTAGGTAGTGTAGTAATTCCCCCTTGGTTTTTCTTTGTGCCACGGTTCTTTTCCAAGGGCTTTATTTGAACCAGGTGTAGTAGTTTTTTTAGGGAGTAGGAGCTACTGTGAGATGAATTGAATCGCAGCGATATCTCTAGACTTTGTTATGCTTTGAGAATAGTGAGTACTTTCGTTGTGACGCTTAGGCTCAGATTTTTACTCTTATAGAAGTACCTTAAATTGTATGATCTTAACTTTGCTTAATTGCTTTGACTAGAGTGTCTTGATGAATCCAATCTTGAGTGAGTCATGTGCCATGTGGCTGTAAGTTTTTGTGTTATTTTATGCATTGCATTTGATGTCTAGAACTTACCCCGTGTGTTTGCAAAGCAAAATAGTAGTTTTGTTCAGTCTTGGAAATGATATAGGCATTTCTTTGTTGAGCCAGATATGTATATTTTACCCGCCTAATTGTTATGTATCGTAGTTAGCCCCTTTGAGCTTGTAATCCTGTTTCTTTGGCAACCACATTACAAGCCTTACCCCTTTGTTTGAACTAACCATCTATTTGAACCTTTTCACCTCTCATGAGCACTTGAACTGTAATGAACTTTGTAAAAGTTAAAGTGTGGGGTGGTTGGTTTGGCTTTTGAGTGGAGCTAATGAAATAAGGAGAAATGTGCACTGTGTTGAAAAAAAAGAGCCACTTGAATTTGAAAAAAAAAAATAGTTGTATTGTTGTAAAAAAAAAAAATATTCCTTGCTAAGTGGTGACTCTTGATGTAATTGTGCTTAAATAATTTGGGAGTTAATATATATTGATGTGAAGGTGGAGTTATGGTTTGACATAAGTATGAGCTTGAATGTTAAAGTATATGTATTAAAGTGCTTAGGGAGGTATAGTCACTCTTATATTCAAATGTATCCTACCCGACCCGCAGCCTACATTACAACCAATGAAAGTCCTATTTGATTTTAGACTGAATGAACTCGATTAGTGGAGTATTACACTACGGGAAAGCTTGTGGTGCGTCCTTTGTAGCATATGAATGTTATTTCTGAGAGTGAGTGAATTCTTTCTATCTTGAGTTCTCAATTTTTCTTAAATTTTATTTTGTGTGTGGAATTACTCTCTTGTGTTGTGTGAGGGCACGTGATTCATGATGGAAAGGTAATGTCATTGACCTCTATGTTAGAGTAAGTGAGTGAGTGGTGAATAATGCATGGTACTTGCGAGTCAAATCTTGAGGTGAAGATGTTACGCTTTTGTGCTTAGTGTATTTTAAATATCTTGGTGTGATGACTTAGGAGAATTGTTTAAAAGGTCGTGTTTACATAAAGTGTAGTTTAATTGCTCGAGGACGAGCAATAGTTTAAGTGAGGGATGTTAATGATAGGCTATAATTACGTATTTTAGTCGCTTATTACACTCTAATTTACTACACTTCAATTGAGTTTGAGCTTTAATCGCTAGTGTTTTGCACTAATTGTGTGTTTTATGCCTTGTAGGAGGGATTCCGAGCTATGTAGATGTTATGGAATGAGTTCGAGTGATTTGGAGCTTTGAAGTCTGAGTAAAAGCCCAAGGAATTAAGCTGGGATCGTGTTCGGGGATCAACGGATGATAATTAAGAACGAACAAAGAATCGAGTAGGCATATTGCACACTATCTAGTAAAATGTTCATAACTTTTCGCTCAGAATTCTATTTGGGCTCCACAATATATGATTGGAAAACTAACTCAAAGAGATACAACTTGCATGTTTAATGTTTTCCCAAATTTCCAACAGAATAGGGCGAAAAGTGCGCGGCCGCGCTCAGGCCGCGCTCGTCAGGCAGAATCAAAGTGGATATGTGCGGTCCAACCGCGGCCGCGCACGTCATGTCCAGGAAAAGTGTCCTTTTTCGCGTAGGAGAAGGTATAATTGTTTGGGCCCGACCCTACTTGGTATATATACACGGAAAGACGGTATTTTGAGGACTTTTGACATAATTGAGACCGAAGGAGGCTAAGGAGACCGGGGATTCGACCTAAGGAGGCAAGAACACACTAGAAGAAAGGCGGAGAATTCTTCTACGAGTTTTTCACTTCCTTCTTCCTCTTTTCTATTATTGGTTATAAATTCTAGTATTGTAGTTTTGCATACTATTATGAATAGCTAATCTGTTATTTAGGGTTTTGATGGAACCTATTGGAGGATGATTTTCATGTTACGTTAATATAGTTTTGCCGTAGTATTTTCTCTATTTGTTCATCTACGTTATTATTGTGGTTGGTTGAAGAACTCTCAATCGACCGTGCCTATTTAGTGTGCATTACTCGGGAGAGAGTCATATTTAGGTAGTTGTTGAACAATATCACTCCTAACGTATATGAGGGATCAATACGAAGGGTTTAAAGGTGGGATTAGGGATAACGAAACCTTGGTGCGATCCGAGTGAGTCGTACTTAATGTCAGCTAGCGTAATTCGGGAGAATATGTCTAGTAAATTGTGGTAGTTACTCATGAGAGAATTACAATACTCAGAGCGCTCATGATCGGTAGAGAATACTTAGGCGAATTTATAGAAAACGTAGCGGGAAGGATTCCGACAATATGGGAAATCATAACTTTAGACCTCCTTAATCTTGTCTCTAACCCTTAGTATCTTTAGTTGTTAATTTACTATTTTAATTTGTTAGTTAATTAGTTAAGCACAAGAATTTTAATATATATAAGTTAGGAAGTGTTCAAGCTTGTCTTCTTGGTGATATTGAACAACTGTAGCTAAACCTTAGTTCTCTGTGGGATTCGACTCCGGACTTGTAAATCGGATTATATTTGCAACGATCGCTTAGTCCTTTTTATAAGGCATAATTGAGATTTGAGCGTGATCATTTATTTTATGACATTTTGATATATTGATCATGCCAATACATAGAAAATTTTTGATTACTCTTTACCAAAGCTCAGTGCAGCAAAGTGTACATGGGAACGAGTTATTTCAAAAGTACTATGAGTATATTCTAAAGAAACTTAAAAATTGAACTCAAGTCTTAATTCTGGATCAATCTTGTGCATCAAAGCATGTCAATTATGGCGAACCATTGTTTGACTGAGAATTGATAGGAGAAGGGCAGCATCTGCAACAAGATCCTGGTGGTGGAGGTTGGCAACACACACAAGCAGGACATATAGGTCTCCTCACAAGTACTTCTGCATATTTAAATCCAAATTAAACAATTACTTAAAGAACAGACAAAAAAGACACAGAAGTTGTTGATGTATGATTAGTTACCTCTGTACACATTGGAACGAGCAGCAACGCCTTCTTGGATTCCAGGAGATAAAACTAAACCAATGAAAACAAGGGTCATGAAAACAATAGGTCTTGGTATTATGGTTCCCATGGTACAATGAGAATAAGAGCTAGAAACTAGCCATTAATTAGATGAATAAACGAACAAGTAGTCGAGTTATTTATACTACAAAACTAGCAAAAGGAAGATGATGAAGCTTAAAGAATTAAACAACTCTGTGTTCTCACTTACCAAGCTCAGAGTTGACTTGACTAGCTACAAGTTAATTAATGGGGGAATCTGTTCAACTTAATTTGATTTGCTATAATTATGCAATTGTAGTATTTTTTAAATGAAATAATTGAAAAGTCAGCAATTACGATTACTGACTTGTGCACATGGTGATGCTGATGCGTTGGGAAATGAGGCTAAAATAATGAGAAGGAAATTTGGGTTGAGAAGAAATTTGGTCAAGGATGAAAGACAAGGAAAGTGGCCATTTAAAGAGTGAATTGAATAGCAATAAGCAGCAAAGCTCTTAAATGTGAAGGTTTTTAATGTAGGAAGCGAGTGAAGCCCGCTATGAATCAGTCTTCTCAAAATTCCACATTATATTCTGGCAATTTCTGGTTGAGTCGGGTTGGCAGATATTAATTATCAAGATTAGTCTTAATTTTTCCAAATAGTGTACAAGAAAATCACCTATTATTATGCTAATAAATTGGCAAAACATCCGAACTTACCGTTCTCTATTGGTCACACACTGCAGTGTAATACTGTATGGTATTATTTACTACCTTCTATTAGTGTAATAATTTATATGCCGGCAGGGATTTTATTTACAACACGAGCATATTGGATCCTTGCTTAACGTGTTTAAGTCAGTGAGGTGATAGAGAAACTCGCATTCGGTGGGTACGTAGTTATCTAACACTTGTTAGCTCAAACATTTGATACAATACAAATAATTGAAATGTTTTGATTATGAAATTTGAAGTGTTAAAAGATCTTCATATTAATACCAATTTATTTAGTAGTATGTTAGAAGATTTTTTTTTGATCAAACAGGAAATATATATATTAAAGATTAAGAAACATGCACTACATGAGATTCATAGTTTCAATTTGACGTGATCCAAGATTTCCCCTCTTTTTTAGTATTAATACCAATTTATGCTTTCTTTCTTTCTTTTTTTTTTTTTTGGGAAATTGAAGTTCTAAAAAGTAGTATTTGATTTCAAATATTTGAATGTTACAATCTCTATGAATCCTCTGATTCTTCTTTTTAATAGTAAATAAATTCAAGGGCCTTTGAGCTTGATCTTGAATATGTAGTTGTCGCCACGAACGATGATATTGTTCTTGAGCTTTAGCTTGATTGCTTGAACTTGACCTTGATTTGTTCTTCGTTCTTGAGCTTGAAGTTGAACTTGAACTTGATTTGTTCTTCGTTCTTGAGCTTGAACTTGATTGCTTGAAGCTTGAAACTTGTGGAGAAATTTGCAGCGTTTGATCCACGAGCCCTTTCTTGCTTCTTGTTATAACTTCTGGTGTCTTTTGTGAGTTATGAAGAACCCTATTTATAGTTGTGGAAGGGAAGAATTGTGATAAGAACAAACTCTTTCCGACCAATCAAATTGAAGTGTGACATGGCCGCATTTGATAGGCCAGAACATGTCACTTGCACACGTGGCAGTTTCATTGGCCTTTCAGTGTGACTGGGCATGCCTTGTCATTTTGACACATGGCATGGTCCTATTGGCTCTTCCGCTTGACTTGGCCTGCCACGTCATTTGACACGTGGCACCAAACTGGGCCTCTAGGAAGATAGCATCTTGGGCTTAATAAAGTGGGTTCATCACTTTTAGCCCAATTAAATGGGCTAGCCCAATGGATTAAGACTTATTTATTTAATCCATATTTATTGGACTTTTATAATTAATTCAATTATATTAGCCCATAATATTTATTTAGACTAGTATATTTAAAATATAGTCCAAATTATTTATTGAATTTAAATTCAATAAATTTTACATGCCTACAAATGCCCCCTACTTCAAGAATTGTCGGGTACGTAATTTGAAGACTAGGCTTGAAGTACCACGAAGCCCCGCTTGAACTCCATTGGCGAAACTTGTTTGAGAATTTAATTTTAACATTCTCTCTTTTTATGGTGCTTTAGCAGTGAGAGGATTTGATTTCAAAACTAAACTTAATTAGCAAACTGGCGAAATAGATTCCTATAATATAGCAACCTTTATGCACATTTCATGAACTTGCAAAGTGATTATAACATTTAGCCTTGGTAGTATGATTTCTTAGATACATCCTCAAAAGAGAAAACACGGATCAAACAAATACTTATTGGATTAGGACTTGGAGAAGCAAAGAAACCAAACCAAGATATCTTCCTACAATATAATTGTCCAAGTCAAGTTATGCTAAAAATAGGAGATGCAATTCGGTGGGATACTCTCAAACCGTCGGTGTCAGATTACAACTCAGAATTGCAATTCGATTTCAACTCGAATTGTAATTTCTGTCGTCCTATAACTGATCCCACATCGGCGCTTCTCTTTCAACTATCGCCTTTTGACATGTATAAATACGGATACTCTTCATTCGATTAGCATTACTTTCAGCGTTTGCAAACCACTTTCAGTCTACTTTTGACAACTTGGAAGCATTGACGTGAAGGTAATTTCTTCTTCTTTTCTTGTGCTTTTCTTCTTTTGTCATTTTTTTTCTCTTTTTTGTAGGTCAAGCGAGAAAGATATATTCTTTTTCAACAAGATGATCCACGCATGAAGAAGACAATTTTGGGGTGTGAGGGGATGGTACCCATCCCTGCCCGACTATCGGAGAGATTACACTCAATGTGCCCCGACTATCGGAGAGATTACTCTCAATGTGCTCCAACTATCGGAGAGGTTACTCTCAATGTGCCTCGACTATCGGAGAGATTACTCTCAATGTGGCCAGACTATCAGAGAGATTACTCTCAAAATGATCCGACTATCGAAGAGATTACTCTCAAAATGACCCGACTATCAGAGAGATTACTCTCAAGGTGGCCCGACCATTGGAGATATTACTCTCAAATGACCCGACTATCGGAGAGATTACTCTCAAAATGACCCAACTATCGGAGAGATTACTCTCAAGGCGGCCCGACTATCGGAGAGATTACTCTCAAAATGACCCGACTATCGGAGAGATTACTCTCAAGATGACCTGACTAACAAAGAGATTACTCTCAAGGTGGCCCGACTATCGGAGAGATTACTCTCAAAATGACCCGACTATCGGAGAGGCAAACTTAAGGTGCAAAGGGACTCATATGTCCACCTTAAGATTGGAAAGTTATAGTTCCTTTTAAGGACAAACCCACAAAGAGGCCAACTTAAGGTGCAAAGGGACTCATATGTCCACCTTAAGATTGGAAAGTTATAGTTCTTTTTAAGGACAAACCCACGAAGATGCCGACTTAAGGTGCAAAGGGACTTATATGTCCACCTTAAGATTAGAAAGTTATAAATCTTCAACTCGAAGACTTCATGGACTTGATGACGTCGACTTGAACACTTGGAAAACTTTGAAGATTCAGCGGACTTTGCAGACTTTAACTTGAAGACCGACAAACCTGAAGATTCGGCGGACTTTGATGTTTCAATATGAAATATTTGAGGGCTCAAATACTTCCACTTGAAGACCGATGAGTTTGAGGACCTCCACTTGAAGACTTCATCTTGGAGACCTGGAGGGCTTAGATATCTCAACTTGAAGGGTGGCGAACGTGAAGACTTCAACTTGAAGACCGACGAACTTGAAGATATCAACTTGGAGACTTTGAGGGCTTAAATGTTTCAGCTTCTCTTTTGCTTTACATTGTTCGACTTTTATCTTAGTCGCATAATTTTTAGATTTGTGCAGCCTCACCAAAAAAACCATATCTTGGTGTAGAAATATTGAAATTGCAAACCGTTTGATTTATTGAAAACTAGACTTCAAAATCTGGAATATATTCAAAATTCTCAATCAAACAACTTCAGAATCATCCCAAATAATATTTTGAAATCAACTTTATATTGTACCTCGCTATCAATTCCAGATATGCGCAGTCTCACCAAAAAAATCATATCTTGGTGTAGGAATATCAAAATTATGAACCGTTTGATTTCATGAAAACTAGACTTCAAGATATAGAACATATCCAAAATTCTCAATCAAACAACTTCAGAATCGTCCCAGATGATATTTTGAAATTAACTTTATATTGCACCACGCTATCAATTCCAGATTTGCGCAGTCTCGCCAAAAAATACATATCTTGGTGCAGAAACGTCGAAATTATGAACTGTTTGATTTCATGAAAACTAGACTTCAATATCTAGAACATATCCAAAATACAAAATTTAATACCTTAAGGATAGTTTCAGATAATATTCCAAAATTAACATAAAATTCTAACACGCTGACGATTTCAGATTGCGCGACTTCACCAAAACTTTTGTATCTTGGTATGGAAGCCTCGAGATCGGAAGATGTATTACTTGCCATAAATCTGAATTTAAGAGCTTTATTCTCACAAATATCTTGGGTTCAAGTCTCACTGAATTTGAAACGTAGTGCCAAGCAATCGTTTCCTTATACTTGTGTTTCCTTTTGACGCCTCTCTTCTCTTCCCTTTTTTTTAAGGCAGAGGGCGGACTTGGAGACCAACAAACTTGAAGGTTTGGAGAACCTGAAGACATAGAGAATCTCTGGACTTCAATGCAAATACTTGACATCCTCCTAAAATCGGCCCATTGAAAATATCAATTTACCATGGAGGGTTGCCCCCTTTAAATCAGATGAGATCAAAGTTCAACAGGAGGATGGCATTTCAGCTTGATCTTACATTCCTTCATACTTCATTTGAACAACAATTGGGGCAATATATATCTTTTGAACTTATGCGACTGAACTTAGGATGAAACTCTAAGCTGCCTACGTACCTCGGTGAAGAGGATCAAGTCATACCGTAGTTCAGACTGGGTGATTTTTTTATTTTATTATTATTATTATTATTTATTTTTTGTTTTTATATGTCCTAACTTTTGCCTAGGCCGCCTCTTTCGAAGTTTTCAACCTAGTGGACTCCTTTTTTTTTGTAGGGACCGTACACAGTTTAGAT